GCCGCTCCGTGCTTGCTCCGCAGGGCGCGGTGCGGGCGCCGGCCGCTGGGCCGTGCTGCCCAACGGGACGCTGGCCATCGCCCGGGCGGGCCCGCAGGACGGCGGGCAGTACCTGTGCACGGCGGCCAACGCGCGGGGCGAGGCGCGGCTGCTGCTGACTCTGGCCGTGCGGGCGCGGCCGCCCCGCATCGCCGGCGCCCGCGGCCGCCTGCTGACCGCGCACTCCGGGGCCGCCGTGGCGCTGCCCTGCCGGGCCCAGGGCAGCCCCCCGCCCCGCGTCTCCTGGCTGCTGCCCAACGGCACCGAGCTGCGGGACTCGTCCGCGGGCGGCGGCAGAGCGCTCGTGCGGCCCGACGGCACGCTGCTCGTCCGGGCGCTCACCGTGTACGACCGGGGCCTCTACACGTGCCGGGCCAGCAGCCCGGCGGGCAGCGACGCGCTGGCCGTGAGGCTGCAGGTGGTGGCGGCGCCGCCCAGCATCCTGGAGGAGAGCCGGCAGAGCGTGGCGGCCGCGGCGGGGCAGAGCCTGAGCCTGCCCTGCACGGCGCGGGGGCAGCCGCAGCCCGGCGTGCACTGGGTGCTCCCCGGCGGCGCGGCGCTGCGGCCGCTGCAGCCGCTGCAGCCGCTGCAGCCGCTGCAGCCGCTGCAGCCGCTGCACGGCCGGCTGCGCCTGCTGCCCAACGGCACGCTGCACCTGGGCAGCGCCGCCCCCGCCGACAGCGGCACCTACGAGTGCATCGCCACCAGCTCCACGGGCTCGGACAGGAGGGTGGTCAGCCTCGTGGTGCAGCGCAGGGAGACGCCTCCGAAAATAGCCATCGCCTCTCGGGAGCTGACTCGGCTGGACTTTGGCGAGAGGCTGCTTCTGAACTGTACAGCAGGTGGGGAGCCCGCTCCCAGGATAATCTGGAGGTTGCCCTCCAAGGCTGTTGTGGACCAGTGGCACAGGTATTATACTTTTTTTCTTTCTCCTCTTTGGAGCTTCAAACACTGTCTGCTCCAGTGCTCACGTAATTGCCTATTACAGCACTAATACACTGTGAACTAAACTCGTTTTAAACAGTTGTGAAACATCTAACAGCATCTATTTCTAATAACAGACCAATTAACAGATCACACCAATTGCCCTGAGTGAGGTCTCAAAACAGGTACAAGTTGTATTTGAATTAAGGTAATTACTGTCACCATGCGCTGGCTGACTGCTGTCAGTTTAGAGGAGGGGAAGTTATCTTTAACAGATTTGTGAAGCAGGGCTTGGGAGGGAGGGGTTTCTTTCATCTCTGCCACGTCTACCTTTGGAGGTCTCCCCACATCCCCTCCCACAGTAACACTTCACCTCCACCTTAGGAGAGACAGCCCCAACTCCAGGTGTTCCCAGCAGAGCCAGCAGTGCTCACATCGACACAGCACCAAAACTGACAGTGACATCAGGGCAGGACATGCTGGCTGGGCAGGAGGTGTGGGCACAGTGCCTTTGGAAAGGCTTTCTGTGCTGCACCGTGCTGCTAACACGTTCAGTCCCTTCCAGTGCTCGGTGTTCATCCCCAGCACTTGTTTCCATAATTCTCTTCCTCTCTCTCCCCACAACAGAATGGGAAGTCGGATCCATGTCTACCCCAATGGATCCTTGGCTGTTGAAGCAGTTACAGAAAAGGATGCAGGTGATTATCTGTGCGTCGCAAGAAACAGAATTGGGGAGGATCTGATACTGATGAAAGTCAGCATCACAATGAAACCAGCCAAGATTGACCACAAGCAGCAGTTCAAGAAACTGGTGCCCTACGGGAAGGATTTCAGAGTGGACTGCAAGGCCTCAGGGTCGCCCACACCAGAAATATCCTGGGGCCTGCCGGACGGGACGGTGGTGAACAACGCGATGCTGGCGGATGACAGCGGGCACAGGGCTCGCAGGTACGTCCTCTTTGGCAATGGGACTCTGTACCTCAACAAAGCTGGAGTGGCAGAAGAAGGAGACTACACGTGCTATGCCCAAAACATGCTGGGGAGGGATGAGATGAAGATCCACATCACGGTCATTGTGGCAGCCCCTCAAATAAAGCACAATTACAAGACACACATTACAGTGGCAGCTGGAGACGCAGCCCTGCTGGACTGTGAGGCTTCTGGAGAACCCAGGGCACAGATATTCTGGCTGCTGCCCTCCAGTGAGATGATCTCCTCGTCCACAGACAGGCACTCCCTGCATGCCAACGGCTCGCTCTCCATCAGCCAGGCCAGCCTGCTGGACTCTGGGGAGTACCTGTGTGTGGCCCAGAACCCTGGCGGGGACGACACCAAGCTGTATAAGCTGGATGTGGCTGCTAAACCCCCCATCATAAATGGGTTATACCGGAACAAAACGATCATGAAGGTGACGGCAGTGAGGCACTCCAAGAAGCACATCGACTGCCGGGCAGAAGGGACACCTCCTCCTCAGATTATGTGGATCATGCCTGATAACATCTTCCTAACAGCCCCGTATTACGGGAGCAGGATTGTGGTGCACAAAAATGGGACACTTGAGATTCGGAACATCAGGCCCTCAGACACGGCAGATTTTATCTGTGTAGCACGTAACGATGCAGGAGAGACTGTGCTGGTGGTGCAGCTGGAAGTCACAGAAATGCTACGGAGACCAATGTTCAAAAACCCTTTCAATGAAAAAATAATAGCAAAACCTGGAAAAACTACCACGCTGAACTGTTCTGTGGATGGAAACCCTCCCCCGGACATAAGCTGGATGCTGCCCAATGGCACGTGGTTTTCCAGCAGCATCAGCACATCCCAGTTTTTCACAGGAGGCGACGGGACCCTGACCATCTACAGTCCCGAGAGACAGCACGCCGGGCGCTACCGCTGCGCTGCCCGCAACCAGGTGGGCTACATAGAAAAGCTGATGGTCCTGGAGGTTGCCCAGAAGCCCAATATCCTCAGCCGCCCTGCAGGGCTGGTGACGGGAGTCAGCGGGGAGCCCCTGTCGCTTCACTGCCTGGCCGAGGGCAGCCCCAAGCCCAGGCTGGCGTGGGCGCTGCCCGGGGGCCGCGTGCTGGACCGGCCGCAGGTCAGCGGGAGGCACCTGCTGCTGGAGAACGGCACCTTGGTCATCCGGGCAGCCTCGGCCCACGACGCCGGGAATTACGTGTGCAGGGCCCACAACGATGCTGGAGACGCCTCCCTCAGCGTTGCTGTCACGGTCGCAGCCTATGCCCCACGGATCGTGGGCAGGCCCCCCCCAGCCATCCGCACCGTGCCAGGGGCAGCAGTGCAGCTCCACTGCGTCGTGCTGGGCATCCCCAAACCAGAAATCACCTGGGAGCTGCCTGACCGCTCCGTGCTCTCGACAGCTCAGCAGGGCCGGGGCTCTGGGGGCGAGCTGCTCCACCCCACGGGGACTCTGCTCCTCCAGAACCCCCGACCCTCCAGCTCTGGCACGTACAAGTGTACAGCGAGGAACCCCCTTGGCACCGACTCCGCAGCCACCTACGTGCGCGTCATCTGAGGCAGAAACGCAGCAGGAGCGCGGGGAATGCAGGCTGCAGCCGGGCTGGGCTCATCCTGGCCCTGGCTTTAATCAAAGGTGGCACAAGCGAGTGCCTGGACACATCCACAGCATTCAGTCTGCAGTCACTGGGCAAAAGGAGAGAGGAAAGGGAAAATTAGCTCTAGCATTATTTGCTGCCATTGGTCCTCTCCGTGTTCAGGGGATTTAAATGAAAGCAAATTTAAGGCACTTCTACTCAGCAAAGCAAGAACAAACAGTGACTATCAAACGTGGTAACTTTCTGGAAACGTGCCCAGAGAGCTCTTTCACGGACACAGTTTTGCATCAGTTCAATACTGCCCACCTTGTATGACTGTCATAAGCACGGTTCAGAGAGGGCAAGGACACCTGGGAACTGAGGAGCAGGTCTATTGGGCTGCAGATCACCTTCTTAATGTGTTTTAATATTTAGTCTGTTTTTAAAATAAATATTCCATGATGTAACAAGTAATTAAGCATTTTTAATAGCACAGCCACAGTCTTTCTGCAGAGCAGTGAGATGACACAGAACAGCTCAGTTTGGAACAAGAGAGGAAGTGCATACAGGCTAGGTGTAGAATCACTCCAGCTTGGCATTGCTTTCTTATTATCACAAAAGCATTTTTTAATGATTTCTCAATAGAATAAAAATCACAACAATTTGAATATCTGGCCTTAACTGAGCAGCCAGGTAAGTTTAAGAAGCAAATTGAGTTAGCACAAAACAGGAAAAAAGTATTGCCAGAGTTTTTTAAATGTTCCAACATTTAAAGTTCCTCCTGAAAAATGAATGCATTGAAAAAGAATTGTATAGACTGACTCCTAAATGACATAAAATAGTAATAAATTTATTCTGCTTTTTCAACTCTCAACACAAGCAAAGGGGGGAACTCTTTGCGCAGGAATAATGACAGTTTGTTTGTGGTGATTCTGCTCGGTTGCTTGCCTGTGGTTTTGCACCCAGCTGCCGATGCCGTCCCTCGCAGCAGCCAAGGACTCCCTGGGAAGAGAACACACAGCAACTCCTGCTGCTTCCTGTAGGTTTATTAACATCACATTGTGGATTTTAATGTAAACTTAAAGAAGTTCTAACACAAGCAATAAACCCACTTCAGCACCTTCTAAACACAGTAAGTGCAAGAGGAATTAAGTGCAAAGTACCTTAAACAAAGAACCCTGTAAAGTGCATATGAAAATCACAGTCAAATAAACATGATTTCAAGTGATGCACGTTCTGCCAACAAAGAAAGAGGTGAAGATTTTAATGAACAAATTAACTTTGCCAAAATCAGAAGTGCCTTTAGTTCAGTAGTTTGGTCCAATGCAGTTCTTGGAAAAAAATAAATTAAAATTTAAAAAGTGTTTCCCACAAATAAATAAATTTGGCATTTTTTGTCCTCTTTAAAAGTAACAGGACCTAAAAAGCATCAAATTCATAAAATTAGCCATAACGTTCTTCAAATAGGCCCACAAAAGTCCAGATATTGAAATCTAGTTAAATCTAGCAAAAATAACCCTAATCCCAAAACCAACCTGTGGATATTCTCAGTTCAGTCAGAGAGAAAAAGAGAACGATTTCTGCCAGGTTAAGCCTGGGAAAAAGTCCAAGAGGAATGTAAACAATCTATTATCTTGTTTTCCATTCATATTTTTTTATAGATATGTTCTACCACACTGACCTAAGTCCAGTGTACCAATCAGATGAAGTATTTTACCCTAAGACCAATAGAATTAGTCTTCATGATATTCTCTATAAAAGAGAGATGCACTTTTGAATAAACAGTCATTTATCTTCTAAAATCATATGAGTCATTTCGCCCATCCCTGGCTCAACAACGGTATCCAACCTTGCTACATATTCACATCAAGTGCAGCACAAAATCCAACGACTGAAATAAGAGCTCCTGTTCTGCTGTCCAGCAATGCCTGGTGCACTGAATTGCCAGGTCCTGCTCTCAGTGCAAGCGGCCCCAGCATGGCCAGAAGTGGGGTGGGTGCCCGGACTGGCTCGCCCCTTGCTGGTTACCTGGTGGAGGAAGAAAAGGGGGTGAGTGTACTAAAATACAGAAAAATACCTGAATTTGGTGCAGCAGTCAGCAAATCCCTCATCCCGAGGTCAGGGGCACTCACTTCCTCGGGGACTGTTCCTGCAGGGGACTGGGGAAGGGGAGGGGGTTCCAGCCCCAGCCCCAGGGCTGGGCGTTGGTGCCACACCAAAAGCACCGGGACATCTGTCCAGCTGTCAGCCGGTGGATGACCTCTATCCACCTCCAGCAGCAGAAAAAGAGGCAGAAAGACTCCAGAAAGACAATTCCATGTTGGGACACTAACTGCACACACACTCACCAGAGAGTTGCTCCTGGGGCTGCTGCAGCCTGGCTTGGGAACTGCAGGGGAGGGGAGAGGGGAAAGAAAACCCACAGTGCCTGAGCCACGGCAGGAAAAAAACCCACAGTTTGTTACCTGAGCCACGGCAGGAATAAACTCCACAGTTCAGGAAAAAAACCCACAGTTTGTTACCCGAGCCACGGCAGGAACAAACCCCACAGTGCCTGAGCCACAGCAGGCACAAACCCCACAGTGCCTGAGCCACGGCAGGAACAAACCCCACAGTGCCCGAGCGATGGCAGGAACAAACCCCACAGTGCCCGAGGCATGGCAGGAACAAACCCCACAGTGCCCGAGGCATGGCAGGAACAAACCCCACAGTGCCCGAGGCACAGCAGGATCAAACCCCACAGTGCCTGAGCCACGGCAGGATCAAACCCCACAGTGCCTGAGCCACGGCAGGAACAAACCCCACAGTGCCCGAGCCACGGCAGGAACAAACCCCACAGTGCCCGAGCCATGGCAGGAACAAACCCCACAGTGCCCGAGCCATGGCAGGATCAAACCCCACAGTGCCCGAGCCATGGCAGGATCAAACCCCACAGTGCCCGAGCCACGGCAGGAAAAAACCCCACAGTGCCTGAGCCACGGCAGGATCAAACCCCACAGTGTCCGAGCCACGGCAGGATCAAACCCCACAGTGCCCGAGGCACAGGTGCCCGGCTGTACCGCCCTGGCACGGGGGCCAGCAGGTGGGGAGGGCAGCGAGGGCAGGAGGCGTTCTGCACAGCACGGACACAGAGCACCTGAGAACTCTCAGAAGAACTGCTCTCTGCCTGCCCTGCAGGCTCCCACCAGGGCTGCTCAGCCTGCAGAAGAGAAAGCTTTGGGGAGCCCCCACTGCAGCTGTGGCACCGAGCACTGCGGGATCAGCACCCCAAACTCAGCACCCACCATCCATCTCTGGTCTCTCAGCTTTACAGATCTGCCTCCTAAATCCCCAACTGTTTTTCTCATTAGACCCAGTGAAAATGCATGTGCTTCTAATGCTTTTAATTAAGTGATTCTTTGGAAATCTGGTGTGCTGAATAAAACTGGAGTAATCCTGTACCCTAATAACTCTGTGGGCGCTACAGAAACCGCCCGAGCTTTGCTCAGCAAAACCTGGTGCTTACTGAAGGCAGTTTCAGTGTTTTACAAGACTTCAGCATCTTTTCCCTTTCTGAAACCAAATCCTTCACTTAAAACATGTTGTGTAATCTCCTGGCTATCAGTAACTGCTGAGGTTAGTCAAAGGCACTACTAACCGGTACAGGGAGGGTTTTTTGGGGCCATAAACCCAGCCCACAGCACCTTCTGCTGTGCAGGCGCTGGCAGAGGAGTCTGCACCAGGCAGGTGCCTATTGCAGCCACGCTCTCCCATCAGTTTGTTCAAGATAGAAGAGCTATTTTAAAAATCCTTCAAAAATGGATGAAAATTATATAAGATTAATACTTTTTAACTCAAAAGCTGCAATTTCAGCATGACTATTTTCTCTGCTTTTCTATAGCAAACTTTTCCTAGTTATCCTCACCACTTGCAAATGGGAAAGAAAAAAAAGCTCAGACTGTGGGCTGCTGTATGTTCTGCGTCACATAAAGCATCTCGCTACTGCTGCTGCACAAAAGTTGTGTGTCACATCAGAAACACGACCTGAACATCTTAGCATGTCAAGCCAATTTTATGATATGGCAACAGTTTATGCACTGTCTGCAACTTGATAAAAACCATGTATCTCTCTGTCAGACTTCAAAGGTCATCTTATACATTTGTTTTCAAAAGTAGCATTTCCTTAATCTTTTTAGCCACTCTGGTATATTCTGAAGAATTGACACAGGTATAATACAGGTCAGTTGTATTTGGAGCTTCAGAAATAAATATTTAATATTTATAACTGGAACCAAACTTTTAAACTTCTGTTTGGAGAAGTCACTGTAATGTTTCTCGAATCACTATGAAGTGCTGCCCTCTGGAGCCAGTAAATCACTGTAAAACTCAATTCACTAACTAGAAAATAACACAAAATAAAATACAAAATAAAGCACATATCCAAAATGCTGAAAAATGTGAGCCTGTGGATTTATTACATCTAGAAGATGGCAAATCATCCACCATGGCTCTTGGTGTGAATCACAGAGGAAATACCCCAAGGGGCCTCTGTTCCTTCAATTGTCCCTTTTTGCTGTCACTCACCATGGAACCCCACCGGCTCTCTGACACTGCCACCGCAGTGAGCTTGTTCTGGCTTACCTACCCACGAAGTTCAACACCTTGGGAGGGACAGAGCTACAGCTGAGAGCAGAAAAGCCCTGAGAGAGACCACAGCTGGCAAAGGGATCAGCCACACGGGGAGGGAAACGGGCCAGGGTCATGCAGGGTCCGCGGGCTGTGCCCCCAGAGCTGGGGCAGGGGCTGGCTGGGCAGGAGGAAGCTGGGCTGGGGAGGGTCCCCCAGGCTGTGCCCTCAGGTGCACCCCCAGGTGCACCCCCAGGGCTGGGGGCTGCGTGAGCCATCGGGGATGCCAGTGAGGAGCAGGGGGAGGCACTCTGGAGGAAATGTTAACTGATACCTTCCAAATCCATAAGCAATGCCCATTTTCCTACTGACAGAG